TAAATTTTCGCAAATGAAATGCGCACATCAGTGTTAACCCTGCCACATTAACACTGCACATCTTATCCTCTTTAATCCTGTAATGAATATGAGACTAAAAGCAATACTCCTGTGTGTCGTAAGGCCTTACATGATTATCCCTACAACAAAGGATTGTCATGTCAAACATGGCATTATTATGATTTAGTCCAGGGATCAAACAAGATGAAGTAGATTATATGAGCAGAAAAATGTATTCAGTCTAATTGTTGAAAAAAGAATCCACAGAAAGAGATTTATGTATTAAAAATTGAACATCTTTGATACTGAAGACTTTTTAAATCTAAGCATTTGTTGTCACATAAATGAAAAAGGCAACCATTTACAAATGGGATCTTTGGGCCATCCATTTCCATGAGCTCTGAGACAGTTTCCATATATTCAGACACATGCAACCACAAAAACCAAACTAAGATCAGGAAGATGAAATATTGAGCAAATCCAATTTTCCTTCTACTGATTACCCCTGACCTATTCCTGTTTGGTATCTTTCCCCTTCCCTTTCTCCACTCCAACTACACTCTCTGAAAAAGTAAAATATATAAGTTATTTGTTCATGTCCAGCTGGAACCATGATATCCCATTACAAATAAGTTTGAAAGTTTTCATTTCTGATTTTAAACAAACCAGTGTTTTCTAATAAGATCTGAACTTGTTACTAAGGTTCACTTAACTAATGAGAACAAACCAGTATCTAATTGTAGTTTCTTTTCCAAAACAAGCCTAGACTAGAAACCACAGTTTGAACAGATAATAGTTCCCCATATCTGTATGTTAGAAGAAATCAGTGACTACTTTAAAATCAGAAGCAAGTGACCAGTTACCCCTCTGGTGTATAAAAGAAAGAGAGGTAAGTACACAAGCTATATGATCACATAGTGTGAAACCATGGACTGCCATTGTATCTGAAATGGACCTAAGGGCATTTTTCAAAAAACAACTTCTACCTATATTACTACTCCCTTGCACTATGGAGGATTTACACTATAAACAGGCAATGTAAAACAGACAAGATCACATATACTTAGCTACTACAATGGGGCTTGGAATTCTACCTTCTTGCACCCTTATGTTTGACCTTGTAAGTGTGCATTGGGTGGCGATGCAACACAGTTTGAGTATGAGCCTCTTATAAAACCTTGCTTATTCTTGACTTTGTTGCCTTGGTACCCCTGGCATTTCCTGATTCAGGCATCATACACAACCAGTTTTATTGAGCCTAAAATAGTAATGTCTACACCAGTAGCTGCAGTATGGAGATAACCTTAAAAATGAAACTTCTTTGAATCTGAACCATCCATTTGCCAAAGGGGCAGCCTCCTTTACATCCACACAGTTCATAAGTCTGGTCTTGCCATTCTTTAATCAGTCTTTGCAGGGATGCGCTATTCAGCCATACTCTGTATCATGGATAGCTGGATTGTTCAGTTACACCAACATTACTGTCCCTCTCTTATTTATTTCTTTACAAAAATCAAAAGGGAATCACCACCTTGTAGAACATTACAGTTCTCAGCCACAGGCAACTTATCGTTTAAAATTCACATTTCAAGCTCATATGGAATGGTATGTACAGAGAAAAGATTTGAATAAGATACAATAAAACACTAATACATATTCCAATGCATTAGCATAATACAAACTACTACTAAAGCCTGCCTAGTTATTCTTGCAACATCCTTTACTGAACATCTCTTTCCACTCCACCTGCACCCAAAAGGCCATTTGCCAAGGAAAGCATCTCTGTCTTTGGAGACTAGTGTGTTTTCCTCTTTAAACTCTTTGCCAATTCAAACCAACCAGTACCTATATTTCCAGAGCTGGCCTTCAGAGCTGAAATTGGGTGCTGAAGTGTGCATGTTGATGTATCCAGATGTGGAGTGGGAAGGGGAGACAGCACACATATTGGAGAGACTATATTCTTGGTAGAATCAATGCAATTTGTAGAATTTTCCAAGGAAGAGACAAAGAAATATATTTTTAAAAGGAGAAAATAGGCAGAAGTTATGAAGAAGCTCCGGATCTTTTAAATAGTATAGATAGAAATGTGGGCACACACCTCACCCCAGGAGGGGATGCCATAAAGTAAATGTTGCCTCAATAGTCTAAAGATAATGGACCGGGTAGAATTCCATTTCTGTTTCATTTTGTTCTGTAAAATGCCCATTATATTTCACATAGCTTTCTTTCCTATCCTCCACAAATATTTGTTTACTGTATCGGGATGCAAAGCCAGTCAATCTGTATGGAGCAGGGATATAACAAACCAGACATATGAAATCTAGAGATGTGCTAGTTCTTCAACAGGGGGCCACTTCTTACCATTTTTTATTGTACACTTTGAAGAATATTGGGTGGGACAAGGTGGTGCTAATGAAAGTCTTATGGTGTTTTTTTTCCTGCCCAGAGCAATAGTTTGACATACAGACACAGAAGCAAAATTTCAGAAATTTTGAAGCTGTGGTACTCAATGCGTTTTTCCCATAAGTTTCTGGAAAGATATGAAAATGTTGGAGAAAAATGGAAAAATAAGCAATACTTTTTCAGCACTCCTTATAGCTCTGAAGTCCCTGTATTGCTCTGGGATAGCATTCCTCAACCTGATGCCTTCCAGATATTTTGAACTTCATCAGCCTCAGACAGCCTGGCCATGTGAATGCTACACATGGTAGTCCAAACATCACAAGTGCCACAGGTTGGAGACGGCTGCTTTAGAAACAAGAAAAAGGCTTTAAGTTCCTAAAGTTATATTATTATAACTTGGTATTCATAAAATTACCATTATATTTAAAATCTTTGTACACTCTGTAGGTGTAACTAATGTCTGAATAAACTATACTTTTAAACTTTATATACCAAACATACTAGCAAACTTAAGTTATACATATTTTAGCTTCCTATTTTGTGTTTGACCAGAGGGAAATTCAGCAACTAGTCCCTGAAACATCTAAACCATCCTAAAAGCAGAAGTAGAAAGAGTTAGTGGCAGAAGAGGACTGATTCAAAGCATCTGTTCCTTTTTGTAGGTGTTTAGTGAAATTCCTAAACCTTTCCCTGTTCATGGGCTGGATTTTAGGGAAATCTAATCTAATGGAAAAACTATTTTATTCAGTTATTTCTACACTGAGCTTAGGAATGGTAAGCAAACATATTTAGCTTAAGAACCTTCAACTAGAACCTATTATTTGAAAGGTGACATTTTAAATAATTGTAAATAATTCCTGATAATGAGCATCTTATTTGTTGTTCATTTTGAATAGTTGTCTCCAGTGGCAGTGTTAAAACCATAGCTAAGAGATAGGAACCAGGCTCCTGAATTCATTTTGAGTAGAGAGGGTTTCTTTTAGCAGTAGTTGTTAAATGTTTAATAGATGAGACAGCATTCCCTTATGAAGAGGCCTAATTGTGAACATTATTAAAAACAATGACAGTGAGTTCTATAGAGCCAGGTCTGAACATTATTTAAAAAAGAGAGAGAGAGAGAGAGAGAGAGAGAGAGAAACACCAGTGGAAAAGGCCACATGCTATTCTGTCACATTTGATATCAGTGGTGGTGGTATAACCTACCATTATTATTTTGCATATGAGCTTTAGAGTAGAACTATTTCAACTGACTGCTTCAACATCTAAACCGAGCAAGTCCATTAACAAAGGACACTGTGAAACAAAAGCCAAAATGTCAAAAATACTTTTTTCTCATGATAGTGATTCTATTCACATGTTGGGAAATTGAGCATGACTTGGAGCACCTTTAAATATGACTGGTAAAAGATACATTACGGCAATAACTTTAATAAGAAATGGAGAAAACTACTATGTTGCGTAACTTGAACCAGATTAAAAACATTTTTTCTAGATCATCCTTTTATGTCTTTCTAGCAAAGTCTTTCCAGTTTTTTTGAAGTCATTTGGTGGAGGGGCTCAAGGTTGAGTGACAGTATATAAAGACCTTGCCTTATATACTAAAAAAATCCCAATGTAAAATGGTTGAACTTCCCTAATTTTACAGGAACCGCCCCCCCCACCCGCAAAAAAAGATCTCAGAAAAAAATGGAGAAAAGTTTTCTTCCTAATTTTTCTGGATATTTTTTTTCCCAGACCTTTACCTCCCTATTCATGAATGTTCAGAAGCAAGTAAGTGGATGTTTGAGAGGTAAAAGTCTTGGAGTCATGGAGTGGATTATTTAGCAACAATCCAAACAAAGGAATTGCCTCTTACTTTTTCTTACTTGGGCCAAATGATGGCGCCCCCTAACTGACTGGATGGAGATCCAAAATATGGCAGATATCACAAGCCCCCAACTTGAGCCATTGTGTATATCTGCTTCAGCCCACTCACAGAGTTTGTCTGGGGATTCATGAAAAGGAAAGAAGTGAAGGTAGTGAAGTGAAGTGAGCAGTAGGCTATAATCAATGCAGTGCTCCCTAAGTAAGGCTGTCTTCACTCATTTTCCCTTTGAAACCACACAGAGCATACCCCAGGCTCTTCCCAGGGAAAAAGCTTTCCAGGGAGGGCATAGGGCTGCTTTTGAGGAAGAGGCTGCTTTTGCAATTCCCTGTCCCCAAGCATCACTGCAGGGGTGCTAAAGTACCGTATTTTTTCGTGCGTAAGACCATACTTTTTCTTAAAAATATTTACCTAAAAATGGAGGGGCATCTTATACCTGGGGGCCGAGATGAGAACCATAGGCACACTGGGGGGGAGGCAGGCATGGGTGCATGCGTGCAGGGAGGCGGCAGGCGTGCACACGTGCGCAGCAGCTTGCTCACTCAGAGATGAGTACGAAAAGTAGGGGGCGTCCTATACATGGGGGCGTCTTATAGTCGGAAAAATACGGTAAATACAATCAATCATACATAGAAGCTGATCACCAGAAGTATGTTATTTAATTTAAAGCATGAAAACAAAATAGTGCATTACTAGAGTACAACTTGAAAGAATAAATAAGAGTAATACTTACATAGCTGTGGATCTTAAGAAAATCTGAAGGACTGCTTGTACAGACTTTATCTCCTTCCAAGCCCATTACTCTTTTGCATATATTTGATTTGGGGTCATTTGGGTTTTTTGCAATGACAATATCACCTCTGAGGAAAATGTTGTAAGGAAATGTCAGTGACTAGGAATATGTCAGTGTAACATATTTTTAATCAGTGCTGGTTAACCTTTTGAAGGAAATGTGTCCAAGGTCAAGTCTAAATTATGAAAGAATGCCACTCTAATATAGCCCTCATCCTGTAGACCCTGTGGGATGATTTCTTTAGTTGCTAAGCCAGAGAACAGTGCAGTGTTGGAAAAGTGGCTGGATATAATCCTGCCTTTATGATGCAAATGTTGTTCAGCAGCACGAGCCACAAACCTCTGCTCCCTATGTCCCTTATAGCACCTATAATGTAGGGTGAACTCCCCTTATCTAAAGTGCTTATTAAAGTTTTCTTTCTGTCTTTTGATGAAATTGAGTTATTAAAATATATAGTTACCATCCTGTGCAAAAAAAAAGAAGAAAATCTTTCCCTTCCACAGCATGCTATGAGTCTTATGCATATGTAGCAATTCTGATGGCAAGCAAAACAGAAATGGATCCAAGAAAGCTTCTACAGCACAGGCTTATATGTGGTACATAAACCATTTCCTCCAAGCTACATCTAAAACTTATTACCCTCCACAACCTTTGTTTTTAAATTGATATCCAACAGGAGTGTTTGATTGCATACACATGGCTTAATGCAGGGAACCTGCTCTTTTATAAGAGTGTTGAGCACTGTACACACATTCACTACCCCATAAAGTACTAATAAAACAGCATTTGGATAATATAATAAATGGCATTTGCATTTCTGGAGAGAATTGATATTTGAATTTGCTTCCTGGAGATAAACTCTAGTTGTCAATTAGAGAGCCGATCAAGATAACCTTAAAATAAGCATGCATAAAGTATGATAGCTGCATTAAAAAAACATCTGTGAAGTCCACACACAACGAAATCTTAAGTCTTTGGGTTTATTCTTAAAACATACCAAATCAGAAAAGTTTCCAGCAAACCCAAATTGTTTTATTCCCTGTTCTAAAAGAAAGAACTTAAAGTGCATTAATAAAATTAGCCCAATGAAGAATGAAAGATGGAAAATTATGGAAAACTAGAACAACGTACTTCTGAATGCTGTAAAAATGGCAGCTAAGATTCTCTGAAAAGACAATGTCAGAATTGTGTATTGTAGGCTCCATTGAAGGTCCTGAACACTTAAAAAAAAGGTTATACAGTATTAGGCATACAGTATTTAGTTACATATAATCTTTAAATAAGTAGATTATAGTATCATCAAGTCAATCCAGCTAATATTAACTTTTTGGAATAAATAATCCAAAACCATTTCAATCCAGATTTAGCTCTGAAACAGCCTTTGTTGCCCTGATGGCTGACCTCTGTTGCAAGAAAGGCAGAGGGGATGTGTCCCTGTTGATTCTCCTAGATTGCTTAGTAGCTTTTGATAATACGAGCCGGGGTGGGGGGCAGATACAGTGATAGGTGGTGGTTCCAGTCTTACATGCAGGCTTGCATTCAGGGATAATTTGGGGGGAATTTCTTCAAATACATGCCCTGTGAGTTGTGACATTCCACAAGGTTCTAGCTTGTCACCCATGCACTCACACAACATCCAGATAAAGCCACTGAATGACATCATTTAGGGAATCTGAATGAGGCGTCATCAATAATATGATGACATCCAGCTCTATTTTTCAGTTTCATCAGAATCAGATAAGGCTGTGAAGATATTTAACTTCAGTCTGGATTTAGCAATAGGATGGATAAGTGCCAGTAAACTGAAACAAAATCCTAACAAGATAGAGGCAGTGTGAGTTTGTGCTTACCAGAGTGCGTGCAGGAGTTTCTCAAGTTTCCGAATGTCCCCACAGACTCCAAAGGTTGCCTACATCTGCCCAATTCACTACTAAGGTACTGCTTATTGCCCTTAACAGACACTAACTGGCTTGGGGGACAAATATTTAAAGGGCTGCCCTCTCATATACTATCCTGCATGCACCTTCAGATCTTCTAAGGAGGCCAGTTTCCTAATATCACTCAAGGAAGGGGGGCTTCTCTGTGATATCACCCTGACTTTGAAACAACCTTCTGAAGGTGATATGATCAGTACTGAGTTTCCTTTCACTTGGCAGTAGGTTACAATGTTCCTTTTTGCCTAGGTATGTTAACATTTCAAATTTTTTACAATTTAAACTGAAACATTTAATTTTAAAATTTATCATTTTGTTTTGGATTGGTTTGATGGTTGAAGAATTGTGCCTTGCCTTTAATGTAATGTAATTTTGTTTGTATATTAATCTGTCTTTGAAAGTTTCACCCTCTGAGTGCCTGCAGATGAAAGGTTGTTTGCAATTTTTTTAAAAAAAGATAAAACTATAAAGTGAGAAGTATATCACATAAAGGATATAAGGCTGTCTTTAGTCTGGTCATCATCCACAGATTTTGGTTCCTTAAATTTCTCAACTCTTATTAGAGTTGTCAACAGCTTACAGGCCCTGAAACAAGGTTTGAAGACTGAAAAGACAGATGACTCCTGAATTCTTCTCAACATCAGATTAAACTCCATGCCAGGATTTATCTAGCTGACATTGCCCGTGACCCACACAGCCATACCCCCACCCCCATAACAGTTTCATGAAGTGCGAAGGCAGGTTCCTGCCTCAGGAACCACAGCTGGCAGTGCAAAACTGTGAAAGTCAACAAATCATTGTGGGAGGACTTTATATTCCTGATCCACAGGATGCAGCAAGAAAGTCTTCTGAAGTAAGTGTGTCTTTCACTCTACAGGTTTTCCCCCCAACCCTGCAACCTTTTTAATCTCACTGTTTAAATTTCACTCTAATGGGGTTATATATTCCATCACCTTTGCAGAACAGCCACTACTGCAGAAGATCATCTTGTCTAAAAGATCCCATATGGGGCAAGTGAACCTCCCTCCCTAGCTTTTGCCAGGAAGGCTCTTTCCTGTGAAGTTATAATTTGACAGACACAGATCTAGGAGGTTTGAAAGTGATCCCTGCCTGTTAAGCTGAGGGAACAGAGTAGGCATGCATACATTTGTATTGGTTCAAAACTGAGCCAAGCCATTTCCAAAGCTGGGAAAAATGTCCATTGCTGAGCCAAGCTGGAATAGCCCACAGGAGACACTAACACTGCATGCTATTGTTCCATGCCACCACATGCCATGCTTGGATACTTGTACAACCCCTATACATGCAAAGATGGGACTGCTGCTGACAGATTAATGATTCTTGCTGGCTTCATTTCTCCAATCAGCAATCCGGCTTCCAACATTTGAGCACAAGCTTCTTAGCAATGGGCAGTGCAGATAGAACGAAAATGACAGTGACTACCCAAAAGATGGAGATTCCTTAGCTATGTGCTTTCGTTTAAAAGTCTTGATGGCTCACAAGGGATGGTTTCATGCAGAAAGACACTAAAACATCATGAACTCTCTGCAGCCCTAAGTAAAGTTCAAAGAAATCTAAAAAGTTCAAGTCATGCCATCAAGATGAATATCCCCAACATGTCACTTTCTTAAACCAGCTTCAAATTTTAATAGCAAACTGGAAACTGGCAAACTAAAATTGCATTTCGTTAACGATAGCTCAGTCGTTATTTTAAAACCATTTCTTAACTTACCACAACAATTCCACCAAAATATTCAAAGGCACAATGAGCTATGCACCCATATTGAATGGTATATCCAAGAAGTCGAAAAGTCTTTCCAATGGCAACTTTCAACATAGCAGTCACAGTTCCACAGCCGGTCCTGACTTAAGGGAATAGAAATATACCAGACAATTATTTGTTCATAAAGATATATCCTGGCCTGCTATTTATTTATATATCATTAACATTTATATATCATCTTTTCTAGAACTCCACCAAAACAGTGCATAATCATTTAAAAAAATAAAACCTTAACACAATAAAAATAACAACATCAAAACAAAGAAATGTAATATTAAGACTAAGAAGTAAGTCTTTGCAATCCTTCCAAAATTCAAGAGATTGGGAGCCAATCACAGTTCTTGAAGACTGACACAGGAGAACTTCCTTTCAGGGTTGCCTGACAGACTGGCGTCTGTAGCTAATGGGGCCGTAAAAGATCTCTCAGGTCTTTTACTTCCTATATGCCACTCAGAGAAGCTCATTACAATTTAAATCTATAACATTGTAAAATGAGTAAATTGTCCATGGGACAACACCATCAACTGTACCTGTACCTTCAGGACCCAAGCTGGTGCATAGAGAAATATTTTGACTTTAAGGGATGGACAAATGGATATGAGGTGATTCTTCAGTAAGCCATTTAGCATTCCAAAGTGCTAATACTTTGACCTGTGCCCAGAAACAAATGTACAGCCAGTGGATATACTGCAGGACAGATGTAACACAACCCCAGAGGGATATTCCCAATAACTTTGTTGCTTCTGTGCTTTGAGCCATTGCAGCTTCTCAAGATTCTCCAAAGGTAGCCCCATACAGAACATGTTACTGTCATATAATCCTGATGTAACCAAGGCAGGTGTTACTATAGCCAGGTTTGATTTCCTCAGGAATGAGTGCCACTGCCACCCCAACTTAAGTTAGACAAAGGTACCCCTGGTAACTGTCACCACTTGGCAATCTTGATGTGAAACAAATTCCAAAAGCATCCAACATTGCAGATTTGATTTTTCAAGTGCGCTCAACTCCATCCAAAACAGGTAGGTACCTATTGCCCTCCTGACTAGGAGTGAATCCATCATGTCAGTATTAAACTTCTATTTGTTAACTTTTATTCAGCCCATTATTGCTTCCAAGTCTAGAACCCCACCAGGCGTTAGTGGAAAAAAAAAGAAACATAGCTGCCTATCATCCGAATCTTGGTGGTACTTGGATTATCTTTCTCAGAGGTTTGAGACATGAGAGACAGAATTGGTCCCTATGCAATTCCACATACAGGATCCCTACAAGGTCACATATTCCCAAAGAAGGATTCCCAAGGAAGGACGGGAACCGCAGCAAATCAGCCTCCTATATCCATCCCCACTAGATATCCCAGTATCATGCTATGGTATATGTCATTGAATACTGCTAGGAGGTCCAAGCAGAATCAACTGGGACATGCTCTTCCTACCAATTTCCTAGTACAAATCATCCCTGAAAATGATTAAAGCTGTTTTAGTTTCAAAATCAGGCATAACGCCCAATTAAATTGGATCCAAATAATCAATTCCTACAGAATTCAAGAAACTGACATGCTACTATGTGCTTAAGTCTACAAATGGTAAATTTGAGATTAGCCAGAAATTATTAAATGAGGGCTTTTACAATAAAGAGTTTATTACAGCTGTCAGCTGGATGGCACTACTCCTTTAAAGAGGACTTGTTGCTCTCCTCACCCACTCAACCAAGAATCCCTTGGTTGCTTTAATTAGTAAACGACAAAGATCAAGCACATAAGCTGTTCATCTCACACTACTAAATATTTTGTCCACACCCTTCGGATGTACAAATGGAAAACCAATCAAACACAAAAATACAAGTAAATGCCATACAACTATGATGAATTCTAATATTTCAGCCATTCAGAGTCTGTATTTGGATGAACAATGGCTTACTGTCCTGGTTTATTAACAGATGTTGAGATACAGTTACAAAGTTTGGTATTAACGGCTAGGACAAGATAGAAAAAATGGAGGGATGAAAGAGGAGTGTGTAGCTTCATCAATTGCCCATGGCTTGATGGTTTATGAAGCCTTGAAGATAACCTGGCCAGCTTACCAGCTTAATAATTAACCAGGATACAAATTAATTTATTTTGTATTCAAAAGATAAAATCAGAAAATACTTTTTAAAAATGTATCCAATATGAACCTGTTAATGACCTATCTAGTTGGAGCTGCTATTGCTCTCCTAATATCAATGACTCTTCCTGTTCTGGGTAGTGGTGCATTTAATATTTAATTGAATCAATTGTACTTTTAACTTTTGTATATCTTTGTAGCTTTTAATTGTATGAATTTTAATGTTTTTAATGTTGTGAGCCACTTTGAGTCCCAATCACTGGGAACAGGATATAAAAATAATAACAATAATATAATAATTCTTTTACCCTCTTTGTCCTGCCTTTCCAATTCATTCTACTTGTCACTCTGTTTACACTTTTTGCTTCTTCTCAAAGCATGGACTGGTTTGGAGGTTTTCTTTTTATGGTATTTGTTTTTCCAAAGATTTTTGTATACTCCTGCAAATCTTTGGGATACCCAATGTCTGCTGATAGTTTTCTCTTGCTTGTGGGTAGTGTTATTTTGCCACATTTGCACAAGAATGTAAAAACTTGAATTATTCTCAGATCATACAACAAAGAGGTAGACTGGACAGATTAAGTGACGTTTTTGCACAATATGGTCACTGGTGATTTATCTCAAGGCCACTCCCCCAAGTGTTCAGACAGGATCTTGGAATAGCCAAGATGCACAGGTGTTGGGTGGGGGCATGGGAGAGGAACTCTCAGAGTCAGAGAAATCTGGTATGCTTTTTGACTTCATGATGTTGCTTCAGGAAAGGAGGGAATGCCAGTTACAGATAGGCATATAGATAGGCATATAGAAAGGAGAAGGGATCACTTCCAAATGGGCTCTTCAGAAAGGATCAGGCCAGATGCACTCAAAAGGAGGGTTTCTAGAAGCAGTTCAGACTAGGTTCAGAAAAGCATTGTGCGTGCACAGGGATGCATTCTTTGAGGGTTGTGTTTGAAGGGTATCCTTTGATGAACAAAGAGTTTTTGCAAAGGAATGATCTGTCGCCTTGAATGTGCAACGGAAGAAAAACTTGGCTCACAACTGGGTTGTACAAATGGACTCAAAGTATAGCGAGTCCCAACACAAAATTTAAAACTGAACTTATTAAAGGCAATCAGTATGCCAATTATCATAAAAGATGAAAAAAGATAGAAAAGACAAAAACTGTACTTTTTCAATACTGCCTTTTTTCAGGTAAGGCATCCAGAACTGTACATAAATATTCTAAGTGTGGTTGCACCAATGTAAAAGGGGAGTATGATCCTAGTAGTTCTATTTTCTGTTTTGTTCCTAATCATGCCTAACTGGGGGTTAGCTTTTTTCACAGCAGCTGTGCACTGGGCCAACATTTCCACAGAGCTGTCTACCACCACTACTTCAAGATTCCTTTTCTTGTTCAGTCACTGCTAGTTCAGATCCCATTAGCCTATATTTGAAGTTGGATTTTTTTTGTTCCAATGTGCATTATTTTACATTTGCTTACATTGAACTGCATTTGCAATACTGGTGCCCATTCTCCCAGCTTGGAGAGAATTATTTGGAGATCCTTACAATCCCTTTTTGTTTCAACCACCCCAATAGTCTGGTATCATTAGTAAACTTGGCTACTTCACTGCATACTTTCCTGTTCATTTAAAAGAGTGTTAATTTCTATTTTATTTTTATTTTCTTAACAATTTGTGTGGGGGATGGGAAGGGGGGATCATGTCAGTTAAGCAGGTTATTCTGTTGAAACCCTAACTCAACTCTGGAATGAGGGAACAGTCTGGTTCAGATTATCATTCCTTTCAACTTTCTTCAGTGTTCAAAGGCCTGTTAACATCCTACCTGTAAGAAGGAAATATAGACCATTTGATAGCCCTTTGTGACCAATTCGCATGACACATCATAGATAACATAGTTCATGTCCATGCTGACTTCAATGTCATAGTTAAGTGTAGTTGAAGTAACTTTGAATTCTGTATATTGTTATAATGTGTCTTTTTCAATCTGTACACTGGAAAGATACAGGGAAAATTCATGAAGATATGAGAACGATCATGTATGATGTGTTTGACCTTTAAAAGTGGCAGGAGGAAACTGGCTTAGATTATTGATACATTATGATCATGTATAAGAAAGGCATTACTGAGAACTTTGTTAAAACACACATACATTCAACCATTTTCTGAGTATCAGTGAATCTGATTGTACTGGGTAACTTCTACCCAGTCCCTAATTTTTCATATTTGGGCAGGCTGCTGAAATATGTGGTGCTGCCTCAGTTCCAGGGGTTTTTGCAAAAGGTAGGTGTAGGGACTGGGCCCACTTCTCCCAAAAGGAAATGTGATGTAATGAGAGGGACAGTGTGGTGTAGTGGTTAAGAGCATGGGATTGGGACGCAGGCAATGTAGTCCCTTCCTGGCCATGGAGTCAACTGGGTAACTTTGGGCCAGTCACAGACTCTCAGCTCAACCTACCTCACAAGGTTATTGTTGTGGGGATAAGATTTAGAGCAGGAAGAGGAGAATGATGTGAGCCACTTTTAGTTTGCTATAAGAAAAAAAAGCAGGATATAAAGCCAATAAATAAATAAATAGCATTCCATGGTATTGATTTCAGACTCTGAATCTGAACTGGAAGAAGAGACAGGGTTGGAATGTGTAACAGAAATGCCAAGATTATAGAGCTAAGAGATAAGCCAAGCAACTGGTGAGAGCCAGACCACCTCTGGTCTGAGGCAGACAGTGTAGAATAGGGAAAGGAAGAGGGAGAGGGGTGTGACTTTACCAACCTAGTGGTTCATAGCCAAGTCAAATGAAATGAATCAAGTAATATCTGGCATTCCTACCATCTGGCCCACAAGCAGCACAAACCTCACAAGTGAAGCCAGCATCATCTGAAGAGGGGAGGAGGAGGGAAATTCAGTTTAGAATCAGCTTCTTACAGAGGCAAGAATGGACATTCCACAAGTAAGAGGGATCATTAACTTGACAGGACTTCTTGTCAAAATCCTTTATATTTCTCATTCTGTATTCAGCAACTTTTGATACCATCAGCTATGGTAATCTTCTGTATCAATGACAGAGACAGAATGGAACTGGGAATTTATCTCCTGTTCTTCTAGGACATACATTCCAGAAGATGAGTCACTCCTGTTTGACACCTAAACCAGTAGCCTATGGTATTCTGCAGGGTTCCAACATACAGCGCAGGCGATTTAAAATATACATGGAAGTGTTGGGAGAAATGTGAGATTTTGGAGCTCGGTGTCAACAGTATGTTACTTGTCTTTTCCACCTAAATCCAAGGAAGCTGTTCTAGTTCTAAATCACTGCCCAGTGTTGATAATGGCCCAGATAAAAGAGAACTGGCACTTAATCTAGACAAGAGAGGGGTACATTTTGTGAGCCAAGAGGCAGATCAGGGAATATAGATTTAACCTGTGCTGCAGAGCAGTTAAAATTCCCTTGAAGAATCATGTTTATTTACCTAGAAGCAAGTATATAAAATCTTCTAAGGTCAACATGCAAGTGAAAACTGTGCATAAGTCAAGGATTTAGCAGTTGTACGAAGTAAACTGCTATTCATTAGTACTATAGATGGGAAAATTACTCTAGCAACTTGATGGAATTCCTAACCCACTATTTAGAAAGCTGAAAGATAAACAATCAACAAATCCTTAAAACAATTTTCTTATTTATATATACAACAATAGGAATATGGGCAAAAGAGCATATGTCCACTGAAATGGGTGCAGCTGTATTTTGAACTAATTAGACTTTCAATCATAGTTTACTCAGATGCTATAGAACAAAAGTTATGCTTTAAACAGCCCAGGAAATTATAAGACAATGACCTAGATGTCAGAGGGCAAAATCTTGTGAGCTTAAACTAGTTTTTACAGGTGATAAAAATGTGAGTATCAGCATATCAGTCAGTGTCATGGAACTGATGGGAACTATGTAGGTATCTAGATATTATCACATATCTAGGAACAGCTGCAGTGGCAAACTTTCTCCTGCACTAATTGCTAAAAAAGCTGCCTCTCTTAGAAAACAGTTTGAGACTAAAAGAACATGTCTCTAATTTAAAGACAGGATTAGTAAAACAGAAAAAGTCCCCCGCCACTTGAGGTTAGTACAAGAAAGCAAACCCAAGATTGATAGGTACTAAACACTACATAAAGCAGATTTTGTGTGTGTCTTCACCAACATTTCTATTGCACAATATCAAATTAGGAATAGCATCTTCTTTGAAATGGGTTCATTAATATTAAATCAATCTCATATGAGCCTGATAGTCTTTATTATACAATATTTATTCTATAAAATCACTCTTCCTCCCAATAATGTAAGAGTTTTATTACATTAAAATATGCAGGGCCAATTATCAACTGATTTGTGCACATATGTATACACATGTGTGCAAATTCTCATGAAAATAACACCCTTCTCAAGCATCAGGAAGGACCAGAGACTTAGGGCCTATTATGCTCTGAAGAGCAGAAAATGAATGGGAAATGCTAAAAAATAACTGAGATGTCTCAACAAGTACCAGAGGCCTCTGTATACAGAAAAAAATTGAAGTAGCACCTCTCCCAGAATGAGCTGGGAAGTATCAGGAAAGATGGAAGAGAGAATTGAAGTTGTTGATTAGGAAAAAAATTGACTGGCTCACATTTAAGCAGCTGGAATGGGAAAGGAGTGAAAGGAGGAAAAAGGCTTGGGAATAGATAGATGCATTGCGATGTAAAAGACCTAAACAAACCAATGAACACATTACATGTTAAAGCCACTTCAGCTACCTTTTCATTTTTAATAATAAGCACACGCTGCAAGGTTTTGCCCTTACGTATTTTCTGTACAGGATACTTGTTGCTTACTACAATGAAACAAGTGTTCCACAGAGTACAGAATACCAATTAGTGAAGTCAGTGTTGTAAAAAAGGCAAAAAGAAAAAGAAAAAAGCTGGAATGCATAACTTCATGTCATTTAGCAGAAAGCTGCTGAGACTAGAAATGGTTTCCCAGCTTTGAACAAAGTGCCTATCTGGATTGAGCAAATGCGGTGTTTCAGTTACTGTATATATACATTTATGTTAGTTTGCTTAAATAAACTAAATTTCCCTGAAAAAAATAATCCTCGTATATTATCTAAAGCAGCATTTACTTTATGAGACAGATAAATAGTTGACACCCTGAAGGATCACATTAGTTACATAGTATACTTCCCTGCAGGTAATAAACAATGTTTCAGAAAAACATCACTTTAATTTATTACATATATACTTTTCACACGCATAAATACTCCTTATGTCAAAACCTGTGTGCACCACAGAACTAAGGCAGCATAACTGCACAACTTCATATTAAGTTGCCACACTGTTCAAATGATATACCAACTTTGGCCTCTCTGAAAAACATTTTTTGTGGGTCCTTGGAACATGCATTGTGGTATGTCAATTTCTGTTGCACAGACTTCTTTTTGCCTGTGGTCTTTTCTGGATCACAATTTTAATAGTTCAGTGCTAATTGTAATATAATAGCAAGTTGTTATCCTGCAAATATAAATTGTTGAGAAAAGATACAACATGTTCAGATTTTTGGTGCACAATAAACATTTTACCTGATAATTTATATCTGGTCCAAGAACAAATCCAAAATAAAAATTCAAGCATCTTTCACATTTTCATTACCTGATTTCCCCCTCCTTGTTTATAAAATTAATCACAGCTAGCAGGGTAGAAATAGCTGTGAGCTTCATGAATGACATCCAAGAGATGGGAAAGGATTAGTTCACAGTTGCTGCCAGTTATAGCGCCAGGTGGCTTTTTCTGCAGTGAAGGTGTTAGCGATAATCCCATTACACTGGTACTAAATCTTGCAGACATCAAAATTATCACCAAGGTTCCTTTTCATCCCATCCTTTCCAAATGACTGGAAGTCGCTTCACCTGAAAGAAGTCAAATCCACATGCAGCTGCTGTTTTAGCAGCCAGCAGACTCCCCGAGAATGCCAATCGTGATCCAATTTCACTGTGCTGGTGGCCCCTATTCCCTGTCCAATAATACATCTGTTAAAAAATCCTACAGCTACAAATCAAGTTTAATCCTACCAGGGACCTCATGTTGGTCTTGTCTTCCAAAAAGGCAGCAGGTTCTGCTGTCTATCTCTGCTAGTGTCTGGGGAATACCCTTTAAATCCCAGCCCTACTTAGAAGAATAAGCTAAGGATCACAAAACATGACCTTAAAAACCCTGATATGACTATATTCTGACCCAGAGGCATTCATTCTAGGTGAAGATTAGAACTTTGCATAATAAGATTACACAGCAAGTGAATGATATCAAGGGACTATCCATATGCAGCCGCCTGGTTTTCTATAGACAGCCTGTGCTCTGCAATATGCAGTGCAGACGAAACAGAGCTTTGCCTTTCTAGCTGAAATAAAATAGATTCACATAAATTAGTTGGCCATTTCCAGATTCCTAAATCCCCTATTACATCTTTTATTGACAGCTCCTGTGAGGATAGCGCAATCATTATTCCCTTTTTGTTAGCTTCTAAAACAATGGCACACTCTAAGTGAAATGTACATAGACCACGTGTAGAAATTAACATCTTGTTTGCTGTAATCATGGATTACAATTGACAATGCATATAAGAAAAGCAGAAATCCATGGTTAAATTATCTTGATCCTGTAACCAAAGACTTTATTATGTTCAACATATAAATAGAGTAAGAAGAAGAATTAGAATGTTGTTGTCATTCATGCAGGAAATACAAGACTAGAAGAAAAGATATAACATTTCTATTATTGAACAACAAAATAAATCAAATAAGGGTTTTCAATTTTAGATTGCATCAAAAAAGTCCCAGTTAATTGGCTATATTTGCTGTCAACACAGATATTTATCAATAATCTTACTGATTATGGACATGTTATATCTGTTGAACATTTTATATCTGTTGTCCTATGAAGGGTTAACTGCAGATAATCAGTTAAATTAACATTTTTGAAAACAAATTCCACCAAAAATCAATGTAAGTCACATATAAACATGTTTATTGCTCCTTAATGCTTGCATGAGATATAAATTTTTTACAAAACATTATCTTTTGGAGGCTCTAGAATTTTAACTCTTGGTTAGAAAAACAAGTTTTATATGTGAAAAAATAGAAAGTCAGATAGTTTGCGTCATTGGGCTACCAGTGTTACATACTATAGAATTTCTGAAATATATAGATACATATCATGTGCAGCCTAACTTACTCAAACAAGCTAAGTTCATTTTTCAGAAGCAAAGTAAATTGCACATTGTCACTGCAGACTGTGGAGATGCTAAACAACAACAATCTGAGATTCAAAACATATCCAGTTTCTTTGGAAGCACAGGCATGAGGAAGCCCTCCTTCAAATGAAACTAAGCAAGTGTCCTGCAATGCAAACAGTCCTGAAGATTCTCATCATGATTTTGCTAAAGATCAGGATTTCTTCTTATGACCAGATTACTCCCAAGAGTTTGTCCTGAGCCCTAACCTTCTTTTTTGCCAGCATATGTAACTAACAATTAACAATATGTAAATAAGAGCATTCCCCAACTGCCTCCAATCACTCAACACACTAAGGGAAGAGTAGACAACTCACTGGTTCTTTGGAAAACAGTGGTCCTGTATCTGTCTAGACACATGGAGAGCTGTTACTAGATACAGCGGGCGACAATAAGCACAGAAATGCTCTTTTCTGCTTGGGCTCACCTGAAAGCTTGCAGTCATATACCTTTGGCTTAAAATTGGGTGTGGACAGAGTTGAAAGGGAACTCAAAATGGGTGGGAATATTTTAAATGCTTTATAGAAGAAAGCTTACTAGTTGATGCCAACAGTTTCTTAAGTTATAAGAAGTCCTTCATCACCCTTTTTTGCTGTCACAAGTATTACCACAGCCACCTCTTTAAGATATTGGATATCATATCTCTAAGATTCCATTTCCTCCTCAGAAAATCACAGAATGATCTTACATAACCTCATTTGGAGGCTCGTACCAAGCAGGGAGCTAAACAATCACTTCCTCTGAGAGTTAGCCATTTTTATCCCAGAACACTCCTTGGAAGTGCATATTTTTGGGGATGGCCAGACTTGTTCAACAAAAAAGCCACCTACAGTAAATGTCAGATATTTGAGAGCCACAAGCAGGCACCAACTGCTGGTGGCAATAGAGGGCAAGTGGCTACCCATGGGCACCTGGAGCAGTGAGCTGCAAAATAAAGTCAAAGAGCCACATACAGCTCCCAAGCCTTGGTTTGGCTACCCCAGACATATATTATAACAAAGTGTTGTTCTGGGGTATTCTGGGGGTGGAGAATGGGATGCATTAATAGAAGTATTACTTCCAAATTATCAGAAGTGGTAGTTCCCCTATACTCCTCAGTAGTCAGACCTCCTCCGGAATACTGTGTCAGTTCTGGGCACCAAGATTTAAGAAAGATGCAGAAAAATTAGAAAGGGTCCAGAGGACAGCAACAAAATGATCCAGGGTTTGGAAATATTGCCCTGTGAAGAGAGACCGAGAGAACTGAGCATGTTCAGCCTTGAGAAGACTGAGGGGGGACAGGATAACCCTCTATACGTAACTCAACTGCTGTCACAGTGAGGAAGGTCAAGATCTCTTTTCACTGATACCAGAGTGTAGGATACAGAATAATCAATTCAAGTTGCAACAACTGAGATTCAGGCTATAAATATTTTCTTCAATGTCAGAGCAATACGACAGTGGAACCAGTTGCCTAGAGAGGTTGTGCGCTCTCCCACTCTAGAGACATTCAGAAAGAAACTGGACAGCCATGTGAATGGGATGGTGTAAATTGATGACCTCCAACAACAGGGGTTTGGATCCAGTGGCCTTCATTGCCCCCTTCCAACTCTACTATTCTGATTCTATGAGTCTAAGACAGCTGCTACAAGCAGCTCTACCACTTTTGCACAGAAGTTCTCTTTACATCCTAAGAAGTTACCATTACCAAAAGCATCCTTAGCATAACTTGTTTGGAAACTCCACATTGGAAACATTGCCAAAATGATGCCAAATTTGGTATGGAAAGGGAAGATAACTTTTTGCAGAGCCCTAGTCCCATGGTTTAATTCCCTCTCCATCGATTGGGCTGTATTAGCACTATCACAAATTTTAAAATATCAGTTGATCATATAAAGACGATAACACAAGTGTCATCACAATAGTCATGTAAGACTATTTCAAATGAAAAAGAATAAGACCTAAGGGAGAGATTCTGCACATTTCAGGGTGTCTTTCTGTGCTGTGGAGCAACATTGCACACAAAGAACTATTGCACACATGCAATACCTTGCAGAAATATTCACCTCCTTTGACTTTTCCATATTTTGTTGCACTACAACCTCAACTGGAATGGATGTGACTTGGACTGTTGCCACTTGATTGATACTAGATACTAAACAGTGTCAAAGTGCTAAGAATTTTTACTGTGACATGCCTAAATAAGCTCTGATGCAACCCAGTGCCTCCAGAAGTCACATACTGTACTGTAAGTAGCAGAATGGAGTCCACCTGTGGACAATTCCAGTGTCACAGAATTCAGTTAAATACACCTGTTTCAGGAAGACTTTAAAGATTCGTGCAGAGAATATCCAAATAAACAGCATCATGAAGTCCAAGAAGCTATCAAAACAGTGCCAGAAACAAGTTGTCCAGAAGTATCCATCTATATTGGGTTATGAAAAGCAAAATAAAAAATGCTATGAAAATCCCTCAGAGTACTATTAAATCCATTATTGCAAAATGGAAAGAATACGCTCAACCACAACTTTGCCCATAGAAGGCTATGCACCACAAGTCAGTGACTGGGTAACAAGGGCATAAGTTAGAGAAGCAATCTAGACCTCAATGGTAACTTCTGAGAGAATTAAAGAGTGTCACAAAAACTAACCATGAGATAATTATCACCTGCATGCTCCATAAAGTTGGGCTTTATGGAAGAATGGTGAGAAGAAAGTCATGACTGATTCAAACTCATACCAAAGCCCACCTGGAGCATGTAGGAGGCACAGCAAACATGTGGGAAAAGGTTCTCTGGTCCAGTAAAACTAATACTAAACTTTTCGGCTGTGATGCAAAATGCTATGTGTTATACAAAGCCATGCTGCATGGTGACGGCAGATTCATGAGCAGCTGATTTTCCTCAGTAAGTACTGTCAAACTCGTCAAGAAATAGGGTAAAATGGATGGAGTCAAATACAGGACAATTTTAGAGGAAACCCGTCCAGAGACTTTTAGTACTGGGACGGCATATAAAACTTTAAATAAATAAATAAAACCCCTTTCCGTCTGCAGCGGACCTGAGACTTGGGTGCAGGCTGACCTTCCAGCAGGACAATAACTCTAAACGCTCGGCCACAGTAACACTGGAGTGGCTTAAGAACAAGAACATGAAAGCTTGGCCCAGTGAAAGCTGACCTCAATCTGAGAATTTGTGGCAAGACCTGAAAGCTGCTGTTCAGCAACGGTCCTGTCCAACCTGACAAGAGTTGAGCAGCCTTGTCATGAAGAATGGGGAAATACTGAAAGATACTGATAGAGGCTTACTCTATAAGACTTGCAGCTGTAACTGCTGCCAGAGATTATTTTACCAAGGATTGACTGGGGAGCAGAGGCTGAACACAGGCAACTCAAAAGTGCCACTTTGTTCTTGTTCACTGAACTTTTTTGCCACAATAAAAATACTTTGCACTTTCACAGTGTTGGGTATCTTGTATGCATCAAGATATGTCAATTAAACCAATTTCAATTCCAAGTTTTGCAAGGCACTGCAATACGGAATTCCTGTGTGAAGTAGGTTTAGAAAACAGCAATCATTCTCAACTGTATTCAGTAGACAGAGAACATTTTGCCTGTATATTGCAATTTCATTATATTTTTTTCTACATATACTCTTCACATCTGTTTCACCATTTAACTCATAAATTCCGCTTATGATAAAGAAGAATATCTCTTTATGTAAGCCCCAAATTTATGTAAATTTTCAGAAAATAAAATTCTATTGTTTTCAATGAGGGTTACTTTTTCAGTAAAAACTGAGATGTTTAGTACCAGAGTGGTAGTGCACAGATACTCAATGAAGAATTAATGCTCCATGATTCCACTGCAAAATCCCAAACATGGTGCACACACACGCACACATGTGTGTGTGTTTGTGTGTGAGAGAGAGAAGTGCTTTATCACATGGCTGTATTTTATTATATTTTTGTATATGCAATAAAAATACAGTTTCCAAACATGAATAGATGAATGCAATGATATTCAGTCCAAGTTAATCCCCAGACATCTAAATCCATGAATAAAAATTCATCAGGTTTAAATACACTGAGCCTATTAAGCAAGAACAAAAGCATATGCACAAAAGAGCTTTTAATATATTTCAAAGCCCACAAGAGCCATGGTCTCATTAAAATTATAAATTACTCAAACATGGAATGAAGATTCAAACTGCAGTGCAGCTAAGCAGATTACAGAAAACCTCGCGTTCCATATGATAACACACCATGTCCCTCCCAGATGGGGGCTTGGAACAAAAAAGGCCATCACTGCAGCTAGGGAAAACCACCTTGTGATCTCTAGTTTCTGTTCAGCAGATGACAGCCAAATAATATGTTGATTATTCTGTTTGTGCTGCTAAGCTTGTAAGACGGCATAAAAGCGATATGATCTATTGTAAACTCAATGCTAATGTGCTGCTCCACTCATAAGTGCTATACTGAACATATTTTGAAACCATCTTTTCATCTTTTAGTCCAGTTTTTAAATGCATGAAATAAAATAAAAGGCTATACAAAACATTATTAAATATGTCTTTCAGTAAAGCAGAAAAAAGCAGATATAGTCAAGCCAAATCACATTTTTGTGAAATCAGAGGTCATATTTTGATTATTTTCAGTGGACTTTGAAAAAAGTCATTCATTACACGTGAATTAGTACCAGTTTTTCCATGCTTATATCATATTGAAATATTACAGGTTTTGCACTCAAAACCTGTGAAACACCTTTTGCTTTAAATGCTCATTAACTGAGGCAAATTAGAACACTTATGTAAGGAAAAAGTAATGCTTCCCTTGTTATGTGCCCTCTATGGTATGGTTATATGATTTTCAATCATTTTATTTCTGTTCCCTTGAAGAACTGCTGATAAGATTTCAAATCAAAGATCAGAGTTATAGAGCAGAAGGGAGCTTGAATCTCAGCACATTTGTCTGGGTATTTGAAACTTGGCATATCAAGAGGCCATGAAGGAAATGGGGGTTGTTTTTAGGTAAATGCTATTCGGAAGAAGTACTGACCTCTTCCACAGCTTTCCAAAATGTTAATGAGCAAGTGAAACAGAATTCACAGATGTTTCTTATTTTCGGTCAGCTGCACATGAGACACACAGATGCAACCTGTGTCTTTGGCTAAAACAAAGTGGATGTGAACCGTATTTTCAGTAATTGCCTGATGAATGATATGTAAATTATTTCTTTCAAAACTCTGCTCAAAGTTCACTTTTTCCAGGAAGACCTTGAAACAACTGCATATCCCAATACCCAATTGTAACCAAACTGAAGTACTATTGTAACCAAGCCTGAAGTGTATATAACTGACACAGTTACATATTCTTCTCATTTACTCCTGCCTCAATTCTCATCCCCTCTTTCTGTTTTTTCTCTGTAATAACTCAGCACACAAAATAATACATGTTTCTTTATCTATTTGTGCTCCAATTTCTCATTCTTGGATCCTAACAAACTATCCTCTTATGGAAATAATTCTTGTGTAAATAAGGACTTTCCTACTTTCACCTTCCCTCTGCAGTCCCCCAGACAAACACATACCCTGAAAACATTCCTTAGGTTTGGAAGACCCTGCAAAATAAGATGGAATGCAGCACAGATGGGCTGCAAGAGGAAGGGTCAGAGAAAATCTCCCCACCTTGTGAGACAAGTGCCTTCTACTTGTACAAACGCAATAGGATACACACCAACATCCCCAGTCAACACAGCAAGTAAAATGAAAACAAGACACACTAAACAACCTTCAGTTCTATAGTAGCAAACTGAATGTTGATATTGATAATCCCTTTTCATTTTCTTTCTGAAATACAGCACTAAGAAAAGGAGAACCTATTAAAACTTTAAAGTTATTGAGGAGTATTTTATTTTGTTTATATGACTAGGTTTTATTTTGGTTTTATTTATTACATTTATTTGCCATCCCAGAGCCCAGAGGTCTCAGTAAAATAAGACACTGATTAATTTAAACAAATAATAAAACAGTAAGTTCCTATAATAATTGTCCTCACCCCCAGCAAAGGGCCAGGCATCTGGACCCTCACAGAACCACCACCACACTGGCACCAATAATAAACGTCAATAAAAGAGCCAGTGTGGTGTAGTGGTTAAGAGCATGGGACTGGGACTCAGACGACCTGGGTTCTAGTCCCCGCTCAGCCATGGTGCCAACTGGGTGACTTTGGGCCAGTCACAGACTCTCAGCCCAACCTACGTCACAGGGTTGTTGTTGCGGGGATAAGATGGAGGAGATATAAGCTGCCTTGAGCCCTTTGTAAAAAAAAGGCAGGATATAAATCCATAAATAAATAAATAAATAAATAAATAAATAAATAAAACAGTAACCTTTTTTTGTAACCTACACTGGAAGTCTCCTAAACTGTGGAACAAGATAATAAGTCTTTCAAATAAATAAATAGAAATAAAAATAGCTGCGTTTGGAATTTGAAATCCAGATCTTCCTCGAGACCCTGATTCTTAATAATTTTACTAAAATATAAGTCTATGATTTCAGTGGAACTTACTTCCTAGCAATATGGTTAGTTCATCTTTGTTAAAGCTGACATGTTTGACTAATTTATTTAATTTACTGGAACTATACATTACTATAATATATGGATTGTTTATTTCTTCCATTTCCTTTATTCCTTATCTTAGTGCTATACAAAATGTAGACCTTTTGGCTTCTTTTCAATTTTCAATCTGCCGAGTATACATCGGAAGTGCTACCTGTCAGACACAAATAACAAATGTTACCTTAACACTTAATAAACTCTCTGCAAACCTTAGAAGGAACCATGTGTGTAGTGAACTCTGCTGTCCAGCAGTAAAATTTTATGGCCCATTTCTGGAAGATACTGAACTATAACTCTTTTCCCTGAAATAATAGCAGATAACAGTGTGTTCATTTCCTAGTCAAGCCATTAGTAAAAGCATCATACTGTAGGAAAAATTACATTCCTAGTTTTTGGTATTTACAAGGCCTCAGAAGCTTCAGCACTGCATTGGTTCAAATTCTAAAACCTAGCTATTTATAGGCTAGATGGTGTACTCTTAGGAGGGAGGAATTTCTATTTCTAATCTGCACTACTTTGGTACCTGTACAGTCCCAAATCCATTCTATCCCACTCCATCTACATTTCTATTATCTCTTTTTAAAAAAATGAACCTTAAAATTTACATTTAAATACATTGCTATTACACAAGGGGATGTGAGGGCTGCTTTTAATTTTCATTTTTTTTTACATGTTTAATGGTGTGTGTGTTTACAAGTAACAGCTGCTTGGAGTCACTAGGACAAGCCTCCTGGTGCACATATTGAAAATGAGGCCACAAATGCCCCTGGGAATGACAACATGCGATGACGTGCATCTCTCCCAGTGACATTATCTAGGGAAAAAGTTGGCTGCCCCCAAGCACATACTGTCAGCAGAAAGCAAAATAACCCTTTAAACCTGTAAAAAGAGAGAAAGAGAGAAAAGCAGACTTTAAAATTCAAGGGATCCTTCAAATCATCTTATATAGAACTGCAAGTATTAAAAAAACAAAATTGCCAAGTTTTGTAGAACCAGAAAATCAAATCTTTAAATCTATCTTTTGATCCACACAGTGGTCTGAAAGACATGGATTAGCTGAAATACGAGAGCAAATAAGTTCCTCAAGCCTACATGGTTCTAATTTGGTCAATCAAAATTGATCTGAGTGATGGTCAGTGAAGGTATCTTTAGATTTTTACTAACCAGCCTTATGAAAGTAAATATTGTTCAGTTTGGTTCCTTCCATCACTTTATCTCCACTTTTATTATTCTAACATGAAAGTATACCATAATTTAGACACCTGTACCAGGACCTTTAAAAAATTCAAATACTATTGTCAGAGGTTTCTGTTGAATCTGTGGTTGGCAGTGATTATGAAAATTAAAACAATCCCTCATGAAAATACTTTTCCTAAGACTTAAATATTGATACAGATATTTTTTGTGCCTGCTGTGTATATAGTTAAAAAGTTAAGCATATTATTTAAACTAGCAGCCACCTGGCAATACATTTGCTCCTACTCTTACATAATAAGATTCTGGCCTATCAAAGTGGATGGATTCAATACCAATAAGGGATATTATTGCAATAATGCATAATAACCCTGCCTTCAACAACCAGTTCACCAAGGTGACTATTAGGCTGTGCATTGCTTTTTCTTTTCCTTTTTAATATTCAGGCAGCTTTTAAAAGTCAGCAATAATTATTTTAATGTATGTTCTCTGTTTTCCTCTGGGATGCTTCCCAGAAAGACACATCTCCATGATACCATCTATTGTTTGTACAATATGGCCGCGATCCATACCCCAGTAATAGGATGGAAGATAACAAATTTTCCCAGAGAACTTTCTGGACTAGCTCTGGCTGTATGCACCATTCTGCCTTTCTGGAATTCAGACACTATAATTAAGTAGGCATGTATAACAGACAGACAAATCCATGCATTTTTCACTGATTTTGGAATTTTCATTGAATTAAGTGGCAGTTTTCCCAAGCTTGAGAAACCCTACTGCTAAAGAATCTCAGCCCTAGTGATAAAGCATCAGCACACATCCACGCAAACCTAGCAATGGGGCATGGAGAGCAGGGCAGCTGACACTTTGCTTCGTTCTCATTGTAAGTAATTGCACATAAATAACTATAAATAAATCCCCCACACACTTTCTCCTAGCAAAAAGAGGTATTCAATTTTCCAGGTATACAAACCTAATGTTAAGAATAATACCTTCACCCCAAAAAAAAGCTTTGAAGATATAAACACAGCAGGGATGTAGGGGGTATCCAGTGTATTTCACAGAGTGACACATGTATAATTACATGCCAGATAGGCAGGATTTGTGGGTGAATACTTGGTGTAACACACTCCTGACTCTTAGAGAACAATTTTGTTTCATTGAAGCCAAAGTTGCTGGCTTGGAAAAGCTAAGAGGCAGAGATCAGTGGCCAAGACCTTCAAGGCCCAAATAAAGATGTCTCAATTGCTGTGTGATAGTCCCTCTACAGTCACTGAGAAAGGGGTCCCCAGGAATGATACCATTATGAGAAAGGAAATGATCCCTTAAAACAGACTCATTCAACAGAAGACAGTTAAATGAATTCTGGTGGGGCCGTAGAAGTGGAAGCTTTGGTGATTAGACAGGCAGCTGGGTTTTGATGGCCATGTAGATAACATGGTATTTTGTCAGCCTGGTATGAAGGTTGAGGATACCACCTCCATAACTTTGTAGATAGTGCTGTGTGGAGTCAGTGACTGTTATCGATTTTTGTATCAGTGATGTGGGGAAATGTAGTTGTGAGATCCTAGAATCCAAATTTATGTTGCTAGATAGAGAGTTGAAATTCAAGATAATCAGGACACCCTTTTCCAAAATGCTTCATCTATTTCTACCCTGCAAAGGACTTGCTAGAAATGTGAAGCTAAGTCTCCACGCACAAATGAAATGGTGCTGTAGGAGTTCAGATCTATTAGGCACTGGGGAACCTTTTGAAAGAAACTAGGCCTATTTAAGAGGGAGAGAATCTACTTCAACCAAAATATAACCAGAGTTCTATTGCTAAAGACAAAAAGATGGCAGAGCAGCTTTTAACTTGAACCTGTGGGAAAGCTGACAAAAGATGGGAAGCATCTTGCTTTCAAGGAGAACCTAAATACTGTGGGAATTAGAGAAACTTGGTAGAATGGAGAAATCCAGTAGGATAATCACTTCTGGATGTAAATTCTATAGAAAGGATATGGAAAGCCATACTAAAGGCATTCCTCAATATATTAGAGGGTGTTATGTTGAACTGACTAGAAAACCTAAAATGTATAGGCTGCTACACACACATGCTGTAGGTGACAATGTAGGTCTCCAAAGCAGTGCCTGGGGGAGTTAGGGACTTTTAAAGGCTCTAGAAGCTCAGGCACCAAATCTTCATTTAAAGGGGTCCCTTCCTTTCTTAGTTGTGAGCACTGATCATCCATTTTGATATCGTTCCCCTCATACATACGGACGTAGGCAACTTTACCCACCCATCAAAGGATCTTGGGAAATTTATCTGTGGATGGAAACTGTTGAGTGCATCCTTCATTAATATGAACCTGGCACTAGTTCCAAAAGGGGTCATTCTTTACCCCAAAAAAGTGCTTTAGCCAAGAAAATTGCTACTTATTAAAGGCCCTTGTTTTGGCTGAATGTTTCCTCCAGAAGTTTCAATCTGTGCAAGAATAGTTTTCCTGGTTCAGCTAGTACAGGATGTTTAAGAGCTAATTTTTCTTGAGGCTATGGACAAAAATAAAAACTATGTAACAATGCTTGGCCTATTGACCTTTGTTCTGCATAATAAACTTTAAAACAGCATAAAAGAACCTCAATGAATTTTAATTCTGCATGCTGTTAGTTTTAGCACAGAATCCTGCTTTCAAAAGATACTAAGATGACCTTTTATCCCTTTATTTGAGATCTCTTTTTGGAGTATAAGAATACCCCACAAAACTACTTCCATGCAAATGTAAGGCCAGATTTAACCTCAGGTATGTTTTCATAGAATCATAGAATAGCAGAGTTGGAAGGGGCCATGAAGGCCATTGGGTCCAACCCTCCCTCCCTCCCTTCCTAGGGAGACTAGATTCCCTGTTGGGTTTCTGAAAGCAGGCAAAACACTTTTTGTTCTAGCAGGCATTGTAAGAAAGTGAAAATATTTTGCTGCGTGCATATGCTGAATACCATGAAATCCTTACCCTTCCAAAAATGATATGGCAAAAACTGCTCATATCAGGCCCATGTGTGTAGGAATATATTGTGTGCAACACTGAGATTTTATGCAAGCACAGTAGTTAACACAGTTGGCAGTGTCTTCATTTTACAGTCCCTTGAGGCTCTCCAATCTTTAAGAGAGTCATGGGCTACCAACTACTTACCCATGCGCACCAAGGTCACCTCTTTGTTCCTTGGAAGCAGGTATATGACAAGGATCTCCAACTTGGTGCATGGGGTATGTTATGTGCCCTTAAGTGCCACTGTGTCTGCAACACCAGGATGACATTCCTCCCAAACTATCCCTCCATTTGCAATTGGATGGAATGATTCCACCATTAACTTGTATAGAATAGGAAGAATTCTTTGCAGAAAAATTGTAAGGAGACAGAGGTGCAACAGGGTCCTTAGTAGGAGATGGACTTGGCACCTTCCAACTGATTTTTGGTAGGGGACTTTTTCCCTCCCTCTACAAGGCAATGCAGAAATTTTCCACTAATTTTCTAGGCAGGGAAAAAGCCCTCCCTAAGGCCCTTTAGGCAACAGTCCTTGCAGGGGGTACACTTCACACCCCTTTGAGAAAAAGAGACAGACAGAGAAAAGCCAGTGAAAGAGAAGGGGAGGTGAGAAAGAGAGAGAATGGTGGGGGGGGGGGGGGGGGGAGCCGGGGGGGGGCCGAAAAAAAAAAAAAAAAAAAAAAAAAAAAAGCCAGAGAAGGGGGGGGGGGGGGGAAAAAGAGGGGGGGGGGGGGGGGGGGGGGGCGAGAAGCCAGAGGGAGAGCCAGAAAACAGCAAGAAAGAAATAAAGAGAAGCCAGAGAATGGGGGTTGGGGGAGACTGAGAAAGCCAGATAGAATGACTAACTAATGCAACCACATGGAAACAAGCCCATAAATAATTGCAGCTTTTAACCCAGACACATCTGATTATGCAGTGCTAAGACCAGCATTATTCAATGCAAGTCAGATGTTTTGGACTGCAACTCCCATCATCCTCAAACAGTATGTCCAGTAGCCAGGGATGATGGGAGATGTAACTCAGTATCTGAAGCACTCACACTGGGAAGACTGGTCTAGACAAAAGCTACTCGTTGGCTAATATAGCAAATGCATGAAAAAGAAGAAAGAAGCCAGGTAACTTTTTGATGAGGAGGAGGATGATGATGATTAATGGACTTTTTTTAATGACCCCTGTACTTATTGCAAGAAATCAGCTAATAATAAATTGCCTCTTTGGTGAAGAAAGTCTGAAATGGGCCAAGAGATGTTACAAACACTATAATGCCTCTCGTCCCAGCTTAGTCACTCTGGCTTCCATGCAGCCTCTAGTGCAGGCTGATTAGTGCAAGATCTTGCCTAATCTTGGAAATTAAGCAGGGTCAGGCCTAGTTGAAATCTGGATGGGTAACTTTAAAAGTGGTGAATTGCCCAGAGCTTTGACTACAGGTGGTATAGAAATGCAATGTTGTAATAATAATTAGTCAAAAGAACAAATCATGCTAAAGCACTGCCTGCATTAGTGCCATCTAGAAATAGATGGCATTATCTATCCTCAGGGTCACTTCTCACACGAATATTTTCCTACATAAGCATCATTTTTATACAAACAATAAAAATATGCCTCATGCACACCATCACAAATGCACAAATTCATGCTACTGTCTACATGTGCATGTGATGAAAGAAATAATGGGCAACTTATGGGAATATACAAAAACATATATTCTTTCTCATTGTGAGAGAAAACCATTGTGTCTGTAGAGAAGTCCTGTGGGCATCAGCCTCTGAATACATGCTTGCAAATAACTATGCTTTGGATAAGGCTATTAGTCATACTCAGTTTAAGCACTTATAGAAGTCAGCAAGATTGCAAGAAAGTTTATAACAGCTAATGATCTATGCTTGCATGTATTCAATGATAACCTTAAACTCGCTATTTTTTAAAGCTTCCACATCATACTAATATTCTAAGTTTAGTGTGGATTATCTATGGATCAACTGTTTTATCACAACATTTTACTAACTTGTACAATTGGACTGGTCTTGACAAAAGGTATGCAAATCTGACAGTCAAGAACCAAGTATGGGTATATTTTCCCATATACCCAGTGGCCTATTTAAATTGCTCTGCAACCAAGTCATGAGGATTCCTTCTGCAGATCAGGTCTCCATCCCACTCCATATTACCACAGAATAGCTCTCTAGCCATGGTCTCCACTAGGACTTTTTTAAAAATTCCAGTATGTGTGATGAAATACGGTACATAAACAGCTCACTGAATTCAGCTGCCATAAGAAGCCATTTAAAGCAGCAAACCTATCCATATATGGGCACAAAATGCATTATAAATCCCATTTGGCAGATTGGGAATTGTAGGGCTTTTTGTTTAAACATGCATAGGATTGGTAAATACCTAACCCTAAATTGGCATCCATTAAGATTATGACAGTAGCAATAGATGCTCATAGTGGCACTCAGTAAAGTTACAAAAAGAGTGCTGCTCTTTAATAACTACACAGCCTGCACATATGCAAAATTCACAAAAATCTCTACATAGTTTAGTCTTAAATTCTACAAAGTCCCATCACCACCCACAATGTATTCTAAAATGGTCTCGCAATAACATTTGCTGGTCTACTAACAAAAATTAGCTGAAAGTTAGCTGAGGAAATTGCTTGGATTAGCTTGGATATATCCACACTTAACGCGGTTTCCTTCGAGGAATTAAGTGCCACTGGTTCCAAAGAGAGCAAATAAAAATAAGTGACACCTCTGCCTGCCTCTATGCAGCCCAATCCTGTGCATACTTATTCACAAGTCAACCCTATTCATATTCAGCAGGACTTCCCCTTAAGGTACAGAGGACCACTGGTCTATTAGCTAAGTACCACCCACATTGCCTGGCAGGGTTTCAGGCAGAGGTCTTTCCTTGTCCTACGTGGAGAAGAGCTAGGAACTGAGCAAGGGCTCCAGCACTGAGCCACAGTTTTAAAATTAAGTTCTCGCAATGAGGCAGGTAGCTGGAACCAGGTAGGACACTGGCCCACTCGTCACAAGGATGAGGAACAGAATACATGTACCCCCAAATTCTCCGCCAGTCTAGACACGGTCCTTGCCCACTCACTCGGAAGAAGGAAATAACATCCCTTCCAAAAATGCTTGGTGGGAGAAACAATTCCCGCCCCCCTCCACAGGGAAAGCTATAAGCAATCCCTCACACCCAACGGAGCCAACTTCCATCAACACACTCTAGCCGGGTGCAAGAGCCACTACTTCCTCCCGTCACGCTAACTTACCTTCGTGGACGAGCAGCCCCGGGAACTAATACTCTTCACCTACCCCGGCCGCATCCACTGCGCCTGCCAACAAGCGCCCTTCCCATTGGCTCAGCGCTGGTTCCAGGCCCCTCCTCCGCGTCGGTCGCCTTTTCCCTGTCAACGGAGCAGAAGCTAAGATGGAGGCCATGGCGACCGATAGGCGGGTGCGCAATGAGAGAGCGACGACGAGTTTCCAGAGGAAAGGACCGGACGGCGGAGTGGGCCGTTTGGCGGTTTTGCCGGGCACGCGACCGTCGGTGCGGCACGGGCAGCTCCTGCTTTCCAGCGGGCTCCCTTCTCTGGACTATGTGCTAGGTTGGTGCTGGCAGCGCTGCAGAGTCTTCCAGACACATGCCCCCCTCACTGTGGGAGCTTCGTGATAGTCAAGCAGTCTCTAGTTTAGGCCTGTGAGGGAGGGACGGACAGGAGCCTGCTTGACTTCTTTCGCAGCAGGAGCAGCCTCCGAAGCTCCGGCACTTGCCTCTGACCATACGCCGGTTGGCTCAGCCTCTGTGGAGGAAGGGAGAAAGAGAGATGGAGGAGGGAGCTGCCTCCGGCGGGGACGAATCCGGCCGCCCCGTGGTGGGATGGGCTGTGAGATCGATTCCTGGGCAGTGGTATCCTCCATCGTTTGAGGAGAGTAGAGTCTCCAGAGCGAACTTGTAAAGCCTGGGGGGAGCATGGGGGGAAGGGGTGTTGGCGTGGACTTTTGTAATGAGTGCCGAGCCTTTTCTGGGGGAAAGGGGAGACGGCCCTTGTAAGAAGACATGCTATTTACTTTAATCGGACGCCCTCGTTCCTCGTGTTTCCTGCTAGCTTGTTCGTGCTCTCTTTCTCTCCGGTGCCTTTAATCAGTATTGTCTCCAATCCAGCTCATACCACAGTATTGACACAGCAGTTGTGCGGTGAATTCTTCTTGTGTGTGTGCTTGACATCGAATTTTAAAAGAAACTTAAAGCGCAGTCTATGTACTTTTTGAGAGGAAGAAAAGGTCCTACAACTCCCAGCATTCCCCAAGCCCATAATGCTCGCTAGGGCATGCTGGGAATTGCAAGACTTTTCTGTCTAAACCAGCATAGCATGTGTCCTATGCCTCACTGCTTGTATAAATAAACTATGTATAAACTGAGTGAATCTAGTCTAGATTAAGCATTTGTTGAATAGCTGCAGTGCTTACCTTTTCCCAACCTACAAGTCATGGTTCAACACATTAGCTTGCACTGCTTCAAAGCTGTTAAAATCTTGGGTTACGTTGGGTTAAATGAATGATATGTTGGAGGTTGGACATGTGTCTAAGAAGGAGTGAATGATCCAGGAGCATCTGATGTTTTGTTTATCTTAAAATTAGCAAATCCTACTTCATAATCAAATCTCTTAGAAGATCATGTAGTAGTGTTTAAGGAGTTGGGACCTGTTCAGAAAACTTACAGTGGCCTTATTTAAGACACCCCAAATCTTCTAAAGGAAGAGTTAAATACAATGTATAAATATCACTTCAGTGTGTAAAAATGCAGCCTAAAACTACTCAGTTTATGTTTGCAATATGCCAATTAATCACATAAATTAGACCTTCCTTTTCATTACAAACTATTGAAGCCAGTGGGGCACGCACATAATTGTGGCTGCGAACGTGGTTTAAAAGTTAGCATAATTTTTGAAACCCTCATTTTGAATACAGCTAGGCTTATATGTGTGGCTATGAGTTGCATCAGACCGTTGATCTAAAGTTGTTCTCTTGACAGGCTCAGTGCTTTGGCAGTATAATTGTTTTCTGGGATGTTGTTGCCATGGTCAATACTTTTTAATGTTTCTTTAAAGGTGAAAGTGGTTTAATGGGATGCTAAACTGGAGAGGAGTTTCATGTGGTGTATATATAGTAGTTGCTGTTTCTGTTGCTTGAAAATAATTCTCAAAGAAGAAAACAAATATGAACGATTTTTAAAACTGCAACTGACTTTATACAAATGCATCAATGTGTTCATTCTGCTGCTCTCCATGGCCTTTTTTGGGGGGGGGGCAGTATTGCCATTTCAGACAAGAGACATGCACATTTCCACACTTGCAAATATGTAACATGCAAAATATGCAACTACCACTCACAGATTAACATGCTTAAGAATTTTAGAGAAAAGATTTGGTTAAAGGATATTCTTTGGATACTTTGGCTGTGAGTGAGTTCATGAGACATTTTGTGGGTATTCAGATATAAATATAATTCCCACATCTTCAAACACTTTTGAAAGCATAATGTGTTAATCAGCCCTTACATGGTCTACTTTCCACTACCAGTAAGCTAAACAGATAGAAAGTAAGATAATACACAACTGTAATTGATTCAAGTTCTATTTTTCATATTTGGGAAGGGAGTACTACTTGTTCACCTTGAAAAGTTGGCTAAGCTTTTTTCCCAAATGTCCCTGGGTATATCCCAATCCAATAAATTATATTGATTGTTTCTACTTAAATTGTGATGCCCCTCTAATTTCTTCTCATAGATTTTATTTTATTTTTAACTCTTCCTACAGAAGAGAGGCTACAATTGTGATTTTCTGCACCCCTGCCTTTCAAGCCTTGGTATTTCACGTTACAAGGATTGTTAATTTCCACATTTGTACTTCAATGAAGCTAGTGTAGAAGATGTCAATGAAACTTACTTAAAAACCACTTCCATTGGCTCCTTATCTGGCCAAATGCCAGCTGTAGGATTGCACAATAATTTTATTGCATTTTCTGCCCTTCCCCTAGGAACTTAGAATGGGTCACATAGTTGTCTTCCTCCCCAACTTCCCATTTTATCCTTAGAGCAACTGCTGTGGTATGCTAGTGTGAATGGCCTGATGTCACTTAATAAGTTTCTTGGTCTTCCTGGTTCTAGTATTGTCACCTACTAAGCAGAGCAGTATGCTATAGTTGACTGCTTTTGTTCTTGTTTACCATACTATTTTATGTTAACTATTTTATCTTTATTCAACAGTACAGTAGCGTACACAGTTCTTCAGTACACATAGTATTTATGGACAATCATTTCTGTAATAAAATACTTTGAAACCTTTATATGAAGTCCAAAGATTATAGAAACTTATAAAATGAAATATATGTGGCTCAGTATATGTGGCTCAATTTTCTAGATCTGTATCTATACATTTAATACACCTTTGAAACCTAAACTTTCTTGTAATACAATTATTTCATTTATAGTGATGTTTATGTTTTCTTGATTTACAAATAATATGTATAAAAATCAAATCCATATCAATAAGCTACAATAAGAATACTCTTTTTAAAAAAAAATCAGATTTAACATTTTTTAACATTTGACTTTTGTTTTCCTACTGAAATTCTTAATAATTTTGCTCTTGCCCCTTATAAACAGATTTTGTAAAAAATGTACATATTTTAAATAAAATATATTATTTTACATCTTTGTATTTTTTGTCCTTTGGTACTTTAAGTAGCAAGTCTTCATGAATATTGCTTTTACATTTTATCATTTCATATTGTTGTGATGTTGGCTTTATCTATTCCATAAATAGTGCTATTTAAAACCTTGTTTTATTTTAACACTTTAAATTTTAGCTCCTCTTAAAAACAACTCCTTTTACCTTTAACAACATATCCAGCACTACTCATTGCAAAATAGTTTCTCTAGTGGAACTTACAGTCATGCATTGCAGAATAGTTTCAAAGTTCTACTGAAACCTCTGCATTTCAAAACAAAGCTTGAAAGTAAAACATGAAATAAAATACTCCAAAGATTAAAATCCTCATCCCTCCTATTCAAACAATACACATAAATTTAAAAAATCAAGTAGCTAAGCTAGGTCTTTTACAAAAGTATTGCAATAAGTATCCTTCCTTAATATGGACAATGGCCATGCTAAATGAAGATGATGAGAGTTTTCTTCTAACAGTCACCAGTTTGGGAAAAGTTGTAAAAAATGGTTGAGCGTGAATATTTCCATACACTGTCAACTGGGATAGCACTGTGAGTGGATGGATGGATGCACACAGATAGATGTGTGGCCATCTTTATGTTATAGTATGTACTTCACACACTGATGTTGTATGTGTAAGTAAAATTACAAGGGAAATAGGAATTCAAAAATGATGCAAGCTGGTGTTTTTTCAGTATAAGATAGTGTTACATCCTTCCTCCCATCTCAGGTGGTGCATTGCTAGAACTGGTGATAGAAAGGATGTGAATAATAGACCTGTCCTCCTGTGAAATGACTTGATTATTTCAGAGAGAACATTTTTACCCTTGAAAGAGCACTTGGTTTTATTAGAATGAAGCCAGTGACATTCATTTAAGTAGATAGCTGGAATTATTTATACTTGTTAAGAAGAGTTACTTGATTTCCACTACTTTGGCTCTACCTAAAGCCCTGAATAGATGTAGTTGCATGGAGCTGCACTGGGCCAAGATTAAGAGTAATATATTTTCAGAAACATAAAGCAATTTAATCAGTATCCCATCCAGGGGATTCACATAATCATAGATAGTACTGTTGAGCTTAAACTGTTGTGTAACCTATTAACTGTACCAAGTCCTTCAAACTCTTGCTAAAATAAGGAAGTATTACTTTATATGTGTAGAATAATTTGACTAAAACAAGGGAATGTTGGCTATGACAACACTATTAGAGTACTTAAATTTAGTTATATAGAGCTCTACAAGATCTTTTCATATTGTGATAGTAATTGTAGTGTATGATATATAATTATATGCAATATGTAATTATTTAATAGTGAATTGTAAGAAGTATTATAAAGGTAATTAAAAGGTTTTTCACATTACCTTTTTTATCTTCCTGTATTATCTTTCCTTGATATTACTAATTGTTGGCAACATTAGTATGTATTCTTATTTCTCAAATTTATTTTGTTCTTAGGTGGAGGTTTGGCAGTTGGAACCCTTCTTCTCATTGGTTAGTATGAAATTTTCCCGTATATACATATATTATTAATACAGCCATGACATTATCTTTTTCTATCAAAATCTTTAGGAGGAAAACATTACATAAGCCTTTGAAGGAGTTCTCATTGGATGGTAATACAAGTCATGTTGTACCACAAACAAAAATACACCCTAATCTCACATTAGGAAATCCATACCCATTGGGTTATTTTTATTGTTTAATGGAAAAATTCAGATAGTTTTAAGTCTTTACTAATACTTGAAATACAGGAATGGCTTTAGATTACATTGGGAAGCTATAAAGTTTGTCCCAGTGGAGATGTAGCACTGCTTCAGAAATTGGCCTGCAGGCTTGTGTTGTCTTATCTTTCTCCTTTTGAAAGGAATTTAATCTGAACATTAATCCTATGCAGGTATTGCTTTCCATCATTGGTATTTGATACTGATGTGCTTTCCCAACAAAACCCTAGAAAGCTAAGAACTGCTTTTCCAGTGCAAGGTGTGCTGTGAACCTTTTTCCAAAGTGTTAACTTCATCTTTGGCTTATCAAAATTCACACAAACTACAAAGTTCTTTCTGAAAAGTCTACATTATTGTTAACTCTTAAAACGTCTCCATGATTTCTTGCATTTGGAGACAAGACATGGAAAGTTTAGTGTATGAAAATGCTACTCCATTTCTGTGCTGAACCCGGGAAGGGATAGGGAACATCACAGCTGAGGAAAACTACTTTGATAATGGTGATTCCACTTTACAACAGAGGAAATCTCTTTCTCCCTTTCCACTCTCCCAAAAGCCTGGAAAATGGAGCAGCAGATGGATAATGTAGACCCCACCAGTAGGGCCACAGAGTATACTTTCTCTTCTGCAAAAGGATGAGCTCCATGAGATATTTGGAGTAGGTAGGACTTGCAAAGCCACCTCTAAAGCACTTAAGAAGGGGAGGGCAAAGGCTCAAGCTACCTTAGATACCTCCTACCTTCACTACCCACTGGAGTGCTCTCTTTTCCTCCCTCTGTTAGGTCAGTTTTCCAACATTGAAGGTCAGCTTATGTGGTTCTTTCTTGTGTGTGGGGGAAGCTGGGTTGAATCTCCAGCTGTCCCATTTGTCTCTAACTTCAGATGGGGAAGCCTCACTGTCCTGTGTACTGTAGAATTGCTCCCTAAGGCTAGGTATTAGGAAAGTGGGACTGAAGGTATTTAATAATCAGTTCCTTAAATATTAACAACAATCCATATGTTCTAAAAATACTTTTGTATAAGATTCTGAATCTTAAAGAGTAGTATCTGAAGCAACTGCAGGTATCATTGTTGAACAGCTTGTCAGTAAGTGAGACTGCAGTAATATCCTGTCATGAAATTAGTCTAGACAAGCTTTTTATATCATGTGGTTGAAGCTGTCAAAGTTAAGCATCTTAGGGGGATATTTCAGCATTATACTCCAAGTTCTATAAAGAGGCTAAATTTTTTTTTAACAGTCCATAAAAGAAGAATAAATTGTATTACTCACATATTAAATCCCTTTGAAATGAAATGTTCATCTTCATTCTTTGAGATATATTATCCTGGCTAATTTAACCAATACATAATAAATATAATATTATTAAAATGTCGCCTTTAATTGTTAGGATTTTCTACAGATTGGATAACAAAGTTACATACAAACCTGTAAATATTGTTTGATATACTACAGGTACATCATTGGTCTTCAGCTGGTCAATTGGCTTCTGGCTTAAGGATAATAACAGCAATGCTATCACAATTGGCAGGAGGCGGGTACTGCTCTATGCCAGCACCCTTAATATTTGATGGAATGAATGAATGAGGCAGCCATTGCTAGCCACAAAGAACAAACAAGTGGGAAGAAGTCCAAGTCTTGAGTCGCTACTAGTTGATAAAATGCTTACACAAAATTGCTAGTTTAACAGTTTCCAACTTTTCTTTAACAATAGCTCTGTGCCTTTAACAGCTTATTATAGTTCAGAGATATAGGAGCTACACCTATTGGCAGGAGAAAAATTGGCACCCCTAACTACTACAGTATGTACTTAAAGAAAATGGTCCTCTGGAACTTTCAGAAACAAAATACTGAAAACAGAAATACATATAAAATGTCCATACATCATGTTATTGTTTCAATTATTTAAAGTACTGTTGAGGACACATTTTAAGACTTTTCATCAAGATTATATAAAAGTGATAAGTTTACTAAGAATGCTGAACATAATCTGCATATGTTTATTTCTTAATAGATTATAATGGTAGATTGATAGATTGCAATGATAAACAGTGAATTTTGTTGTGTTTTTGTCTAAAATAATTTGCTAACCTAAATATTCATATAATTTTCTCTTCCATCAGAAATGCTATAACATATCTGAGTCATGTGAATTTTCTAGAATGAAATTAATAGGATTTCCTTTTGTAATTTGAAGGTTTTTATATTGTCATTTCAATTTTATGTATTGTTATGGAAGGTCACAATTGTTAAAAGTTATATTGCAAAAGACAATTGTTAAATAGCTGAGACCAGAATTTTTTTTAAAAAAAACTAAAACTTTTAGTTTGCTGAAGGCAGGACTGTTCTTGTTCAGTCTAAGCCTTGGAGCAATTTCAGCAATTTTAATTACCTACCTTTTTGTTTTAGGTATGCAATTTAACCTGTCTATTAAAGAGTACTTTTCACTTGTCAACATAATTGACTTTATCACCTTTTTAAAAGTTGAAAAGGTAATCTCTAGGAAAGTACAAACAGTGATTTGCTAAATATAATTATACAAAATATAAGTTGTCAAAATTTACCTTCCTGCTGAATGGCAGTATGCCAAGTATTGTAACATATATGTTTGCTAACTTTGTATTGACATGTGCTAATTAAATACAAGTGATACAGACTAGCCTCCTTTGAGCTTCTTAACTACTATGGACATCAGTAAAATATTTTTCATGGAATTTTAGATGGTGGGATGATTAAAATAGACTCATCTCATTACCCAAAGCAATTTAGGTGAGATTTTTTGTAACTTAGGAAATGCTCACCTTAGGTCACGGTATTATCCTATAAGACTGTGAATGATAATACGGAGGATGATAATTTAATAAATTAATATTGACGGATTGTGACAGAGTCTTAACAGCTGTAGGGCAACCTGTCTAGACTATCTACAGAATGTCATATATGCAGGTATACCATATGCAATTCACCTTTCCCATGGCATTTACAATTTTCTGTTCCTAATGACTTGATAATACTAATAATTTTAAATCTTTAAGTAGTCATTGTGCTATTTTTATTGTGTGTCTAAGAAGATGCATGTTAAGAGGTTTATTAGGAGAACCTGCATTTAATTGATGTACTTCTCTATAGGTTAACTCATTATATATAACAGCTACTTTTTTAAAATGTTGTTTCTTACGCTCTTCCACCTTGTACAACTAACTTGCTGAGTTTTGATCAGCAAAAAGGTAGCTGCAAAATAGAAATGGGTAAGCACTAGTTTAAACTAGTCTCTGTATTCCTTTTTAAAGTCGTGTTACTACTGTAATCCACTCATGGCCTGCCACTAATTTCCAACAGGAGCTATATTCTGAACTGAGGGAGCATTGAAGGCACCTAATGCAAATTCTGTTCACGCATTCATTTGTATGTGAAATGTTCATTACTTCCCAGTGTGACTAGCAAATTCCTCTTATATAGCTCAAGTGTCACTTCTGTCTGTCTTAGCTTGTTTAGGAGAAAGTGGCTAGCTGGTAGATATGCTTGGGATTAGGAGGTATGTCAGAAGCCTGATAGAAGGCTCCAGTGGGACTCCCTAATCCTCTGGGCTTCTAGTTATCTCTCCTTACAGTGTAGTCATTGCTCTAACTTAGAATGCTTTTATTTTATAAAGCAAATACTTTGCTTCAAGATAATGGTATCAGTTGAACTTACTATCTCTAATCTTAAACTTTTTTAAAAGTGCTGTTCTGATATAGCTATATACATTCTTTAAAAATAAAAGAAAGACAACCTACAGAATTGTCTGTCATGAAATTTGCTTAGCTTGAGGGGAACTAAGGTGAACAATAAAGTCATTGCCAGAATGGTAACAATATACAGAAATGTTGGATATTCTACTGGATACCTTTAGGTATGAGTCATGAAGACCTCATATTTAAATGCTTAATAGCTACACATTATAGGAGGTACTTTATATGAAAGGACAAACTACACAGAATGCTGGTGGGATTGAATATTGCTTTGAATTCAGTTTTATGCAAAGGATTTTACAGGGACTGGTTGATGTAAGAGTGTATTGCTGTAGTTAACTATCTGCCACAAATCTGAATGGAGTCAAAGTTGCAAACCAAGTGTTAGAATTTGTAGGTACCTTTGATATCTGCATCCCAAAATATCCCAAATATCTCCCTTAGTAGACTTGCTCATTATAGCAATGTAGAATTGTCACTGGTCCCATATCTGTGTTGCAGCATCTGGCTAATTTTGACCTGTTTTAGGGGTAATATAAACTGTTTATATGGTCTGGAATTTCTCATCTGTCCATTTTCGCCCACTGTGCAGAGTCAGTATGAACTTCTGTGGTTGGTGGTTGTAGGGTTTATTGGGTTATTAATTATATTTGTATCTTCCCTTTTTTTTTCTTGCAATGAGCCCAAGGTGCCTTACACAATCCTTCTCTCCATTTTATCTTCATAACAACAACCCTGTGAGATAGGTTAGATTAGTTCACAACCACAAGTGAGTGGGGTCTAGAATGCATGTTTCCTGAGATCGAGTCCAACACTTTAACCACAACAGCACACAGACTTTTGATATGAATGATGCAGACAGTTCCCATTCTTCACATGAATGCAGGTTTTCATGCATGGGAGAGGCCTTGATGGCAAAGGCCAGCACCCTAACCCCTATGCTGCACTGGTTATGGTTGGGATTTAATTTTCCCTGGAAGCTTAAATTGGCTTTGATGACTCACATTTTTTAAACTTCTCTTTATTATACTCTCTTTCCAT